CAGGCACTCAATGCAGCTGCTCCACCCATTTTTCCTTTAAAAACTTCTCAGGGGTATAGAGGCCCATATGCAAGCCTTTATCAGTTGAGCAAATCTATTGTACAGACAACAGCATTAGAAGTGTTTCAACTTGGCTGCTTTGTAGAGACAACCAGAGTTTTGTGAACCAATCAAAACTGTCTCAAACTTAAACCAAACCCAAACTGAAACTAAGCTGAACCTCTACTGACATTTGAAAAAGGGATTTTCCTTCCTCAATTTCACATGCTTTTTCCGTGCTCTGATTAAAAAAAAAGAGAGGGAGATTAGAAGCTTGGATTAGTATCTATTGTATATAAATGTGTGTCCTTTTTATGTTTCAAAACTCATCATGTAAATTGGCCTGCTGAATTTTGGCTGTGGTGTGAAACGCTGTGGCATGAGTGACTCAGACTCTTGAATAACCACAGAGTCCTTGCAGCCTTCCTGGATCAGCAGAGAAATGTGTTACGGATATGACACTTGAGTAGGGGTTGGGGATGCTGGTTATTAGTTGCCCACGGCCTCCTGACATCTGATCTTGGTGTGGCTCAAAAAAGGATTGGGTTGAGGACTGTTGATACTCAGGGAGGGAAAAAGTAACAATGAACCACAAACACTTTTGTTTTACTCAGAGGAAGTAAGAAATATGAATGCACAGCTCAGCTAGAAGAGTTTGTTTGCTGTAAAAGAGTGTGATCTTTGCTTTTAATAGTTTTATTGTTATGATACTGGTCAGGATTATATTCTCTGTTGTTTCCTAATCCAAAAATATGGCTCATTTGTAATCATTAGTTTTACACTATTGTTTATTAGATGGAGGAGGTTATTGATGACATAATCAATATGGAATCAAGTTTTAATGATGAAGGGATAGGTTGCTCCGAAGCTCCCCTACTAATGCAAAGAACTGTAAGTATTTTTTTTTTTTATTTTGGTCCTACTGCTACTAATATAGAATTGCAATGGAAAGATACACTCTGAGGGGGAAATAAACTGTATTGTCAATGGGTCAGATTTTCTTTCCATTTTCTTGAGTTACTTTTTTTTTGTACCTGGATATGCCAGATGAGCTGGGGGGGTGAAATCTATAGTTACTATATGTGGCTAGCCATAGGATCCAGGGTTCCAGCCCAATCCCTCTATAGTTTACTATGGGATGTAATAATAGCTTCAGTCCATCAATTCAGAGGTTTGAAGAATCATAAGAATAATGAAAGCCTTTTTGATGCCAAGTTAAAGACCTGTTGTAGTGCATAAGTTCGGAGCTGCCTTGAACACATGTAGTTTTTTTCCCTGTGTTATTCTGAATGAAGTGGTGAAGTAAGCTTTGTTGCAGATGGCCTTGTGCTGACCTTTTGTATCTGGATAAACAGAACTAATATTGAATAAATTCTAAGTGCTGAGATGAAAATGAAGCCTTTTGTATGAAACATACCACTAGGATAATAATAGCTTAGAAAAATGGATTATTCTATTAGTGATACAATAATAGAATATGTTAATAATACTAAAACACTGTTACCCTGTGATGTTTCCCAAAGTGTGAAGCATAGTCTATGGCGGGGGTGGGCAATTATTTTGGGTGGAGGGTCGCTTACTCAGTTTTGGCAAGCTGTCAAAGACTGCATGGGTAGACCCATCCCTTTACAGGTGCCCCACCCCCTGGTCACCATCTTGGGACCAATGCCTTAGGGCCAGCACCGGTGGAGCCCAGAGTGGGGTGCAGGCTGGCAGGGGTCTGTGGAGCTGTGGTTGCCTGTCCTGAGCAGGCACAGGCAACCCCATGCAGGCTGTGAGCAGCTATAGCACGGGGCCCTGGCCATGGGGCAGAGGAGGGGCCACTTTTTCCATGCTTAGCACCAGCTTGTAACCCGCCCTTGTTGCCAGCCTGGGCCCCACGCTGGCTCTGGGCTCACCCATCAGGGCTGCACATGGTGGCAGCAGCTGTGGCTCCCCTGCTTGCCACACTGGGCAGTATTTGCCAACACCACCTCTGGGCTGCCCAGCATGCGAGCTCCAGGTGGGCAGCAGCAATAGCAGCAAACACTGCCCAGTGTGGCAAGTTGAGGGGGGGGGCACGGAGCTGCTACCGCCATGGTGCTGTCCTGACGGGCAAGTCCGGAGCCGGCGCAGGGCCCAGGCTGGCAGCGGGGGCAGGTTACAGACTGGTGCTGAGCACGGGAAAAGTGGCCTCGCCCCATGGCTACTGCCCTGTGATCGCAGCCTGTGTGGGGCCGCCTGTGCCTGCTCAGGACAGCTCTGCATGGGCTGTGAGTGGCTGCAGCAGGGAGCGCCACCCATGGGGTGGACAAGGGGCCGCTTTTTCCCCGGGCTCCTTCCCTGCCCGCAGTACTCCCCCACCCCCGTACCTGAGGTTCTGGCGCCAGTGCAGCCACATGGTCCCAGGCCAGAAGCCCCTGCTAGGGGGCGGGGGGGGGCGGGCCCTGCTGTTGCGGGAGCCCGCCGGGATTCCCCTGGGGCCTACTTCCCCTGGATCCTGATATTTTTGAAGGAACCAAAGACAGATTAATATTATTTCTCTAAATTATTTAGGGGCCTTGCAGGCCAGATAGAATGGCCTTGCGGGCTGGATTTGGCCCGTGGGCCGTATTTTGCCCACCCCTGGTCTATGGCAACCTCACATAGGTTACAAGTTTGAAGAAGCAGGCTGGACAAGATTTGTCCAGGGCATGAAATGCAGCATTATACATTTGGCTGCCAAATAATAATAGCTGCCAGTGCCAAGCAGCTTAAACTTTCTGTAAGAGCTCTATCTCAGGCTTGATTCTTGTGTGAGCATTCTTTCTTGACTTCCTTCTCCTTTATAGTGGGAATATTGTCAATAGGCATCAAGAATAGTAACTGCTCAGCAAAGACTCAATCGCAGAACAATGTGAGGGACCTTTCAACTGGCAAATGTTATGGACAGACAGAAGGCAACAGGTTTCATGAAAAGTGGGCTTTTTGATAAGATTTGGAAGCTCTCTTAAAAATGAGCTATGGTAAACCATAATAATCACAGCTACATTAATCTTTATATTTAGTAATGGGACCTGTGCTCTGTCTTCTGTGGGCGTGTCTACATGTGCACATTTAATGCGCAGCAACCTGTATCATGCAGATATCAAATTTTTGCCTGATTAGTTACTGTGCAGTAATGTAATTTTTCAGGCAGGCACACAAACTTGGTTGCTAAATGTCAGTATTTATAGTGTTGCAGTTATGAAAAGTGCATTGAATGGAATGAAAGGAAGAATAGAAAGATGGGACCAAGGCCCCTGCCCCGCTGGAGCTCAGTAACAGGTACAAACCTCTTGCAGCCTCAGCAGAGCCTGCTAAGTTGCCAGCTCCCGCAGGCAACACAGGCTTAACTGTAGCTACCACCCCCATTCTTTCCAAGAGAAAACGCAAAGTGTTTGGTGTGGGAGACTCCATCCTGAGGGGGACTGAGGGGGCAATCTGCCACTCCGACCCCTTAGCCCGGGAAGTCTGCTGCTTCCCAGGGGCCCGCATCCGAGACATTGCAGAAAAGATCCTTAAGCTCCTCCAGCCCACAGACCACTATCCCATGCTCCTTATTCATGTGGGCACCAATGACACGGCTCGGAGCACTCCCAGCCAGGTCACGAGGCGCTAAAGGGATTTGGGAGTGGGGCTAAAGAGTCTGGGGGCACAGGTGGTGTTTTGTTCGATCCTCCCAGTCTCGGGCTATTGGCTGAAGAGGGAGAGGACGATCCAGGTAGTTAACCAAAGACTGTGGTGCTGGTGTCATCAGGAAGGCTTTGGCTTCCATGACCACAGCCCGCTCATTGGTGAAAGAGGCAACGAGCTGCTGGGAAGAGATGGCCTCCACCTCTCTCCGCTGGGGAGGAGGCTCTTCTCAGCCAGACTGGCTGACCTGCTCCACTGGGCTCTAAACTAAGCCCACCAGGGATTTTGGGGACTACCGCCACTGCTGGCCCACTGAGCAACTCTTGCAAAGCCAGCAGACCAAGGAACTTAAGGGAGCCCACCCCTGCCCCAGCCCTGGTACAATCCGTGGGCAAGGCAAGAGCCCCCAAGGGGACACTTGCCTGCCTGTACACAAATGCCAGGAGCTTGGGGAATAAGCAGGAGGAACTCGTCCTCCTGCTTAATACAAATAATTATGACATCATAAGGATAACAGAGACCTGGTGGGACTCCACCATGACTGGACCATGTGTATAGATAGTTATACCCTGTACTGGAGAGATTGAGTAGATAAAAGGGGCAGGGGTGTAGCTCTCTCTGTCAAGGAAAGCTACACATTCTTGCAAGCTGATATTGGCAACTAGGGTGGATGACTGGAGACCCTCTGGGTTAAAATCCATGGGGAACATGGCACAGGGGACACAACGGTAGGAGTCTACTACAGACCTTCCACCCAAAGTCAAGAGCTTGACCAGGAGTTCACCCAGGAACCGGCTGAGGCCACATGCTTCAGGACCATGGTTGTCATGGATGACTTCAACTACCCAGACATCTTGTGGGAGGATCACTCAGCAAAATCCAAGCAGTTGCAAAGCTTCCTCTCCTACATAGATGACCTCTACCTGAACCAAGAAGTCTACGGGCCAATGAGAGGTAAAATGCTGCTTGACCTGGTACTGGCAACTGGGGATGACCTAATCACCGACCTAGTGATTGATGGGAAGCTGGGTGACAGTGACCACGAGCTGATCACCTTCACCATCCACTGTAAAGCTGGCAAGTCAGTCAACAACATTGAAGTCCTTGACTTCAGGAAAGCCGACTTTGACAAGCTCAGGAGGCTTGTCAGTGAGGCCCTAAGAGACCATGAACCTAGGGGGAGGGGAGTTCAGGAACAGTGGTTGCTCCTCAAGGAAGCGAACCTCAATGCACAAGCTAATTCTATTCCATCTCGGAGGAAAGGCAGCAAGAGGGCACAGCAGCCCCCCTGGCTCTCCAGGGATCTAGCTGATCTCCTGAGGCTAAAAAGAAAGGCCTACAAAGGATGGAGGATGGGATTCACCTCCAAGGTGGAATATTCTGCACTGGTTCGGTCCTGCAGGGAGCAAACCAGGAAAGCTAAGGCTGCAACTGAACTCCAACTAGCTTCAAGTATCAAGGACAATAAAAAGTCCTTTTTCAGATATGTAGGGAGCTGGAGGAAAAGCAAGGGCAACTTTGGACCCCTGCTAAACCAGATGGGACATCTGACAACTGACACTCAGGAAAAAGCCAACCTATTAGATGGGTACTTTGCATCGGTCTTTCATCAGTCCCATGGGACGCCCATGCCCACTATGGGACAGGGAGGTCCAGGTGAGGGTGATCCCCTCCCTCCATCAATGCTGACCTCATGAAGGAACACCTTGAGAGGCTGGATACCTTCAAGTCAGCTGGCCCTGACAATCTACACCCCAGGTTACTCAAGGAGTTACTGAGCATCATAGCCCAGCCCCTGGCACAGATCTTTGAGAACTCCTGGTGCTCTGAAGTTCCCAAGGACTGGAGGAAGGCCAATGTGGTGCCTATCTTCAAGAAAGGCGGGAAAGTGGATCTGGCAAACTACAGGCCCATCAGCCTGACCTCTATCCAGGGGAAGATCTTAGAAAAGTTAGCTATCCTTAATGGACTAGCTGACACCAACATCCTGAGGGACAGCCAACATGGGTTTGTTGCGGGTAGGTCTTGCTTGACCGATCTCATTTCCTTTTATGACCAGGTGACCTATCACCTGGACAAGGGAGAAGAGATTGATGTCATATATCTTGACTTCAAAAAAGCCTTCGATCTGGTATCCCATGATCACCTCTTGGCGAAGCTGGCCAACTGTGGCCTTGGGTCCACCATGATCTGCTGGCTGGGAAATTGGCTCCATGCTTGAACCCAGAGGGTGGTGGTTGATGGAAGTCAATCATCAT